CTTTCGCTAGCCCCTCGCCCTGGTCTTAGAAGCTCCAGAGCCCCCACTGCTGGCGGGCAGGAGTCCTTGACTGCACATCTGCCAACGTCAGCCGGCTGCCTTGGCACCCGGCTCTGCACCCACGCGCTCTGTGGCTCCTCTGAACTATGATTCTTCTTTGCAAAGGGAGACCCCGGTTCCTACCTCTGAGGACTGTCGTGAGGGTGTTCCAGGAATGGCCACTGGACACACCCGACTCCCCTTTGTTCCTCCCCGTCTCCTGTCTTTTCTTCCTCCAGGTAGACATAGGTGACCCTGTGGCTGCTGCCCCAGCCTCCCAGACACTCAGTGACCCAGATCTGTCTGCAGGTTGGGCCGAGGCAGAAGCAAGCCTGGAACCCCCAGAACCCTGGTGGCTGGACACCAGGCCACTTCCTGGGGACAGCAGTCCCAGTGCTGGGAGCCCTCCCCTGCCTGCCCTGATGGCACAGCCAGGGGATGTCAAGTCTTCCTGGAGCTCACAAGTTCTAACCTCACAAACAGGAAGGACCCTGAGACCACAGGATGGCTCCTCTGCGGGGCTGTGGCTGCACAGGAGCCAGCCTCCACAGCAGGGGAGGGAGGACAAGGAACGGCCACCTCTGACCTCAGTAAGAGATGCTCACGCTCCAGCCAGCAGGCGGGCTGACATTTGTGTGATGGGTTGTTCTGCGGCTACCATCTGAATGAAAAAGGCCAAGCGCCAGGGAGCCCGCCCGCCCTCACCTCCGCAGCGGTGTCAGGAGGGAAGCTGGAAAGTCTGGGGGGAACATCTCAAGGGAGGACACGGGGACACCGGCCTGGGTGCGTGAATGCTTGTAGATAACACCTTCAGGGAGCACGTCTTAGGATGGACTCCACACACCTGTGCCGCCTCCATGCTGACACGTGACAGGAAACGGAAGGGTCTGTGACACTGAAGACCTGCCTAAACAGATGGTGGCCCTGTCCTATCTGCTGTGTGCTATTGCTGTGCCCTGAGACGGGGAGATTCATAAGGAAGAGGTTGGTTTCTCCCAGCTCTGGGGGATGGAAGTCCAAGGTCCAGGGGCCGGYGCCCAAAAGGCCTTCTGGCTGCGGTCCTCCCAGGGTGGAAAGCACCAGGCGAGAAGCATGAGCGCGGGAGAGAAGGACAGGGGCCGAACATCCCAGCCCGCGGCCCACSTGGGGGCAGAGCCCAGTCTCCTCTGAGTCCCCAACGCTATTGCATCGGGGWTTGTCTTTCCATGGCATGGACTTTGGGGGACACATCTGAGACATGGCGAGCCTGCAGACAGTGGACGGCAAGTGGCCACCTCTGAGGATGAAATAGACCCGTTTGACACCCCAAGACACTCTCTTGACCGCTGGCTGTGTGAAAGGCCCAGCAGTGTCCACCTGCAGCGAGGGGCGGCCGGAAGGACCTCTCTGTGTTGACCACAGTGTCTCTGACGTGGGTTTCCAGGTGACCGTCTCGTATGCATTGTTATAATGAACATAGGAATTTTTAGAAGCCGATCAAGCTATTTTGATTTTTTTGAAGAGCAGACTCTTCTATCCTTTGCCTTCTCTCTAGGAGGCCATTTGCTCTCCACTTCAACTGATGGCGGCCGTCGTTCCTCACGGGTGGACGACCTGAAAACAGGAAGAGCAGACTTGCTGCCCAATTCCTGCTAGCACCCTCTTCAGCAGAGCTGACTGGAAGCTTTTTGCCCCTGAGAAAGGAAAAGTGGTGCAGAGTGGGCCGGGAACGGCCGAGTCACCGACCCGTGTTTGGATCCTTGGTCTTGCCAGCATCTCAGTGGCTCAGACCAGGGCTGGTGTGCAGGGCCACTCGGGGACCTGCTCATGCTGCAGCACAGAGCCTACCACTGCAGGAAYGGTGCTGACCACCACTGGCAACACGGTGGCCGTCTGCCACCTCAGGCKTGGACATCAGGACACCAGCCTGTGCCCTCATCCGATAAGTGGAAGACACTATCCTTCACTTTGAGGATGGCCCTAAGGATTCCTTGAGATTGGAAGTCACCTTCAGGACCCGCGGCAGAGTCCGGGACACGGTGGGGCTTCAACCCATGCTTGTTCCTCTGAATGATGGTAAGAACATTTCCAGGCAGACAGCAGGGCATTCTAGGGCCAAGGCGGGCCAGGAGCAGGAGATACAGCTGCCTGTAAGGGTCACAGGGACGAGAGGAGGACATGGAAAAGCAGCTGACCTGTCGCTTGATTCGAGTCTGGRTGTGATGATTTGTGTGTTAAAATCAATTTCCTTAAAAGGTTCGTCAATCTGCTTGTTGGATTGACGCTGCTGGTGCACACAACTCCAGAGACAGGCCTGCCCCTGGCCGTGGAAGGCAGCCCTGCTCCCTCGGCTCACACGGCAGGGAAGCAGGGCACACCGACATTGGACAAGCTCCCAGAGTTACAGTGGCATTTAAAGATGTTTTTGCCACTGTAATCCCAGCTAGTATCTTGTCCCCTAAGGCAAGGCTCTGACAGTCTGCAACCACACACACTATGTGAACGAAGAGAAAGATCAACCAGCGGATGGAGGAGACAGACACACTGTCTTTTTGACACTGGCTTCCAAGAAATTTAGGTTCCAGCAAAAAAAAAAAAAAAAAAAAAAAAAAAAAAAAAAAAAAAAAAAAAAAAAAAAAAAAAAAAAAAAATGGAGATTCTGTTTGGAGCAGATTTAAAACTCCCTCACTGAAGACACTGTGCCCAATATCACGCTTGTTAGATGGTAGCAATTAATGTCACACGGGCCCTGCTTGAAAAGCAGGAAACGAGCCCAGTTTATCCTCTCAAGTACCGAGGGCGGGAGGCACTGTTACCATTTTCATCCCACAGATGAGGAAACTTGCAGTTGATCTGCCCCAGGCCACACATCCATGGAGAAACTGCTCATTCGACGGCAACAGCTTTCATGTAACTCTGGGGTTTATGTGCTGCCTTCAGACAGGACCACGTTTACCCTCTCACCTGCCCAGGGCAATGGCTATTTTTAATTAGGAAATTGGGGGACCTAAGCTCAAAAAGGGGAGGGACTCACCCAAAGCATCTCAGTTAGTGAGCCCAGGTCTCCAGCTCTGTCCGTGAACTCAGGGATCTTTTTTTATAAAACTCCCTGGCCTCCCACCCTCTGCTCCCCAAAGTGGGAAAAAACCCAGGGGTGTTCTATCACAAGCTATGTCCGTAGTTCTATTCTTTTTTTTTTTTTTGAGAAGGGTTTCGGTTTCACTAAGTTCTTGAGGCTGGCCTCAAACAGGTGTGTGGTTTGTGAGTTCCTTACGAACACAATTTAATTTCTACTAGACGATAATCTTTAAATATATCCCCAAGGGGCTGAGGTTGTGGCTCAGTGGCAGAGCGCTTGCCTACCATGTGTGAGGCACTGGGTTCGATTCTCAGCACCACATATAAATAAATTAATAAACAAAATAACGGTCTGTTGACAATTAAAATAAATAAATAAATAAATAAATATATCCCCAAACACCTATGGCTATGAAAATTTGGAATTAGAAGGATGTTTACATAGAAAGGCTTCAGTTTTTAAGTTACATTTTTTAGTACCCTTTCAGATCAATAGAGATGGAAAATGAGTCCATTTGTTCCTAAATCTGAGAAACAATTTATCAGGTCTTTTGTTTGGAAGTAAAATAGAATCTAATATTTCATTTTCTTTTTTTATTTATTTTTTAGTTTTCGGCGGACACAACATCTTTGTTTGTATGTGGTGCTGAGGATCGAACCCAGGCCGCACGCATGCCAGGCGTTTCATTTTCTATCTAAACCTATCTGACTGGCTTGATTTTTTTAAAACAAGTCTTCGGTGACTTAGCTCAAACTTGCACTGAAAGCACAACTTCCCGACTTGCTGTGGGTGTCTGCTGGGATGTCATCACTGCACAGCAGAAACAAGCCGCAGCTTTGCTGCCTTGCCCAAGGATCAGGCCCACTGGATGACTGTCACGGGCTGCCTGAGGCTGAACAGCACAGGGCTCAGGAGGGCTAGACTGGCTAGGCAGCAGCGGCACAAAGTGCCCCCCAGGAAATGCCCTGGCAGTCCCTGGAAGCTGGAGCTTCTCTGCTGCCGCTGTGCACAGCCACGAAGACTCCTGCCAAGGAGGGCGGAGGCCACCTGGGAAGTGTCCTCTGAGCCCAGAGGGGAAAATCAGGGTCACCAGGGCCCAGCGCCACCACAAAGGAGTGGGCTCTTCAGCAATTTGGTTTTAAGATCTTGTTCCAAGTTGTCATCTTTCAAAATGAGCACGACACGGGCTGGGCTTGCCTTTGCCAGTTTCAAAAAGGGCTTTCTGGTTCACTGTACATTTAGGTCCATTTGGGAAAACAGGGGATGAGAAGTGGAGGCCCAGAGAGTCTTGTGTTCTTTGGGGCCCGCTGCAAGGGGCAGGCCTTGGCCCTGCCTGCTGGCCCAGCATGTTCCAGGCTCCTGAGATGTGTGTGCGACAGTCAGCGTGGGTTACGCTTTATTAGTTTAATAGTTTTATTTTTATAGGGGAAAAAAACCCATCACTGAGAAGTAGCTAAATTCCCTCAACTATACTCACGGAAAGCCGCAGAGCCTCAGAAGACCCGCAGGAAAGCCACTGCCACTCGTCTCCAAGCAGCTTAATGAAATGGCAAACAGCACCCAGGAGGAAACGAACAGTGTCACAGGCTGGAAACTGAAACCTGTAAATTCATGACAAATGTCACTGCATTTAAAGGGAGAGGAAAAAGACCCCACAGGATTTCTTTGTATGTTAAAGACTTTATTTTCAGACCTTTTAGAGGAATCAATTCCATTAAACAAACCTTTGCAAGTGGCACAGGAGCCACGGGGTCTTGGGGAGCCAAGCTCTCAATTAGGAGCAGACCTGCTGAGTCGGGCCTCCTTCACAGATTACCTGGAAGTTTAGAGGCAGCTTTATAAGACAAACCTTTGAAAAAATCCAATCTTTCCCCCATTTTTTGCTAAGGACCTATTTTCAGGCTTTTTTTTTTTTTTTGCTTTCTCCACTTAACACAAGCCAACATCCTTCTTAGAGAACTGAGGGTTCTGAGATTGCAGGCAGGTCCTCATTAGAGCCACACAGCCTCTGACCACGCAGGATGGACTGTCCATCAGGACAGACAACTGGACAGGCCAACRCTTTCTGGAACCACACCTGGGGTCTGCAGCCGTCATGGGTGTGGGAAGAACAGACAATCACACTGTGAAAAAGAGGCTCTGTGACGACAGGCTCAGGGTCGTCCGAGAGTGTGAACATCATCACAAGCCACAGTCTCATTTCAAAACTCGGCACAGTGACCAGAATGATTTCCATGAAAACAAAAGGTCATTTTCTTAACTTGTGGGCAAATGCATATGTAGCTAAAGGCCAGAGGTTTAAGTCTGACCGTTTTCMTATGTCCAACCTGACTTCTGTCCCTGGAGTATATAAATAACTACTCCGGAGGCTGCTCTTCAAATGACAGTCACGAGTCTTATTTCACAGGTCATGCTGTTCAAATGAGTTGATATACTTTTGTCACTGTGTCTGAGCCAAACAGGTCACTTGCAGGCCTCATGCAGAATGCAGAAATTGGATAAATGATTTAARCCTCAAAAACTGAAGTGACTTCTTGGGGACACACAGGAGATGACTGCTGTGGGGCTCGGTCAGCAGACATCTGGCCCCGGCTCTGAAAGCAGTTTCCAGTCTCTGCAGCCACAGGATGAGGGTGAAGCTCCTTGCCAGGGGACAGTGTAGGTCCATGGGCTTTGTTCAGCCTCTCTGCTGAATTTTCAAGAACTCCTGCTTCTCCGTCTTCTGCCAGGGAGCAGAYGGCATCAAGGTGGACTGGTGCAGCCATTATTTGAGCATCTTTACCATATATGGGCCTTGTAATCTGTAGCCAATCTTTCTATAGTAATTCCTGGTGCCAACCCCTGCAGAAAAACCGAAGTAAACAGCGTGAAATCAGCACAACTTTAGTAACACTCGAAAGTCAGCAACTGTGTCCTCAGCCTCCCCTCCCACTCCATTCACAGACCAAACTACTCCAGGCAGATCTCGGTTTTAACAAGCTTGGAACATTTTTATTACACTGAATTCAAGCTGTATGCAAATAGAGAAACTGCTGCCCACAGAGCAGCCAGCCTCCTCCCTGACTGCTAACACATGCTGGGGTCTGTGGCTGCACGTGCGCGCTGGCAACTCTGGGGGCAGGGCACTGCTTTAGGTGTTCTGGTAAATAAGGAGGAAGATGTGGTGTGTGAGAAGCCTGAGGATGCCACAGTTTCCCGGAAGTGAGGARAGGTGGGAAAATGGGGTCTCCATGTAGGAGACCACATAGGGGGCCTGCCACATAGGTGGCAATGGTGCTCCTGCTCACCTAGGTTGGTGTCAGAACTGCAAAGAGGAGAGAGGTGGTCACAAGAGAGTGGGTTGCTGGGATGCGCTGGTGCACGGAAATGTGGCTTGTGGGGAGGAAGTGGGTTCCCACACCAAGTGACTCCTGATTCTCCGTGGACACCAGCTGGGCGTCCTACGAGTTGACTCAACTCCAGTGCTGACTATGCTGAGCACAGAGCCCGTGGTTAAGTGCTCAGCTCCACAAGACTGCCCCCAGGCACAGACCTCCCTTGTGAATAGTGGGTCTAGCAGGTGAGTTCTGTTCAGCCTGGCTACAAATTGGGGTTTCCACAACCCCATCTGATGAGAGGCTTTGCTATAATAGCTCAGAGAATTTGGGAAGCATTTACTTGATGTTTACTGGTTAAAGGATGTGACAAAGGATACAGAAGAACAGGTGGATGAGGTGCATGGGGCGAGGTCTGAAAGGGTCCTGGAGCTTCTGTCTGTGAAGTCAGCAGGTGCCACCTTCCCGGCACATGGATGTGTTTGCCAAGGTAGAAAACCCTCTGGTCCCAGTCTTGGGGATTTTATGGAGGCTTTGTCTTGTAGGCAGGATCGATTATTAACTCAATTTCCAGYCTCTCTCCCCTCCCCCTTGCTGAAGGTTCCAAGCTTCTAAGCCCAGTTTGATCTTTCTGGTGACCACCCATCAAGGAGCCCACTAAGAGCTGCCCCATGAGAACAACGGAAATTCCAAGGGCTTTAGAAGTTGCGTCAGGAGGGGGACAGAGGCCAGTTACATGTTTCCTACTATGCCTGGGTATTTAAGGAACATTAACTGATTTAAGCCAATACCACCAGTCCCAGGAATTTGTTTTCCTTTAAAAGGGATCTGTATATGATCCATGTTTGAAAAATACTACCTTAAACAGTGCTTCTGAAACAAAAACGGGACTGCACCCGAGAAGCTGAACTTGCAGGGCAGAGCTGGCTTCCACGCCGGGCACAGGGGCCTACGAGAAGGCGCTTGCTGACACGGACCCCGGTCCGAGACCCAGACCTGCCACTTTGTAGACGTGGTTACTCCCCTCCCTGGGCCTCCACCTCTTCCCTGGTGAGCTGGTACCTGTGTCTCTGGTGCTCTGAGGAGGAAACTGAGAGGAACCAGCCCTAGTCCAGAGCCAGTGAGCACTGGCTGCTTGCTGTTATCCCAGAGTGCTCTGGGCACCACCTCCCGCCCCTGCGCCTTCTCCACTGTGCTCCAGTCGAGCTGGAGTTCAGTCTCCAACCCCTCTGCGCGAGCCAGGCTTTCTCCAGCTTCCAGTCTCTGCTCACGCTCTCCTCAGCTCCCTGTGGACCACGTTCCTGACACTGCTGCCCACCCCCGCCCCCAGCCCACTGTGCCGCTATGGCCAGTCTGTGGCTCTGGAGCACAGGTGCCCTCCCGTGCCGGGCTGCAGGGATCTGCTCGTCACTGTGCTCCCAGCGATCAGTGTTGTGCCCAGTAAACATTTACCCAACAGATCAAATGGAAGGCAGAGGGTTTCGCAGGAAACCAGTCCCCGGTCAGCTTTCTCGAGTCTATTGGAATCTTGAATCCAAACAGTCCGTATTCAGGAGTAGGATTTCCCACCACATTTTGCTTTACACCCACTTCAAAATTTAAATTTCAGGAAAATTTGAAGAAAGGTAAAGAAAGTGGGCCTGAAGCCGACATGATGGAGGCAACAGAACGGCACCAGGGACAGCAGGGAACGGCCTTTCAGCCAAGATCACTCCGCTACACCTGCACACTTCCCCCTTCTGTGTCACCATCAGTGCTGCTCGCACGTGGCCAGGTGCAGACCAAGGGAGAGAACACGGACCGCAGTGGGCATGGGACAGCCCAGGCTCAGTGAATAATCGGGAAGACCCAGAGCCCCGGGACTGGCGCACCGTGCGTCCTCCTTTGCAGTATCTCCCCGAGTTCTAGGCCCCAGGCACACCCTCCCCCCAGCAATCACACTCTCCAGCGAAAAGAGAAATGCTGTGTCCTAACAGAAGACATGCGCCGACAAGAAGTGACCCTCCTCCACGGGAAGTAGAAGGGTCACCTGGTAGATTCACTCAGGGAACCTGAAGGAGTGACGGAAGAGGAGCTACTGCTCTATGCAATGAATATAGAACTAACTGTGGGTGAAAGAAACCAGACACCAAATACTCTGCTTGCTGGGCACGGTGGCACACACCTGTAATCCCAGCAGCTGGGGAGGCAGGAGGATCACAAGTTCAAAGCTAGCCTCAGCAAAAGTGAGGTGTTAAGCAACTCAGTGAGACCCTGTGTCTAAATAAAATACAAAATAGGGCTGGGGTGGGTTCAGTGGTTGAGTGCCCCTAAATTCAATCCCTGGTACAAAACAAACAAACAAAAAACAACAAGCCACTTTGCACAAAGTTCAGAGCCAGACAAAACTGATTTTATAGTTACAGAAGTCTCTCCAGAGAGTGGTCACATTTAAAAGTTGGCACAGGCTGGTTCAGGAGAGCCTTTCAAGGTGTTGACAACGTGATATTGACCTGAGTAGTGGTGACATGCACACATGGTATGGATCAAGCGGTTGACTTCAAATTTCACACTCATTCCACGTGTGTTACACTTCAGTCAAGAATTCCTCTGGAGGGGGCACGCCCTCTTAATAGGCATTTCAGTCAATGTGTTCAGAGAGCTCACTCTATTCAGAGAACTGGCAAAAAGAGGAAAGAAGGAGCCGATCGAGGGGTGGCACTCAAGATGCTGTCACCAGAATAGTCGTGGTGCTGTGCACAGTGCCCGAGTCATGCGTTGTGGTACTCCCATGTCTGGAATCCTACCAGCCAGAAACTGAAGTTGGGTGGTTCCAAGCTGACTTTAGTTTCTTCTAAATCATGAGAATTGCAAGTTCTATGCTTGACTAAGTACAAAAAGGATCAACAGAGCTACCTGATGGACTTCCATTGGAAAGGGGTCCCTGTAACTGCAGCTTAGAGAACAGAGGAGAAGCTCCTGGTGGGAGGGATTTTACTTTGACTTTGTTGAATGCAGAACTGCTGGTGCCTGGGCAAAACCCAGCACATGGTAGGCACAACACGAGCAACCAAGGGCAGAAACAGGAAGGCCAGTTAGGAGGTGACCGCGATAATCCATGTGAGAGGGGACAGTGGCCCAGGCATTGTCACAGTGGTGAAAGGGAGCTGGAGTCAGAGAGACGTTTTAAAGACACAGGTAAAAGAACTTGTGGATGCATGTAGGGGTCTAAGAGGACTCCAAGGGGTTTAGCCCAAGTAAAGGAAGCGGCTGGAGACAGAGGAGTTGCCATCTGTTGAACTGGGAAGACTGGGAAGAAGAAGGGGAGGGAAACCAGGAGCTGGGTTTTAGTCATGGGACATGTGAGACGGCTGGGAGCCACCCAAGTGCAGATGCCAAGTACTGCGTGGCTCTGGGAATCCTGCTTAGCTCTCAGTAACAGACACAGGGACCGACGGTCTCTTCTCCTGGACGCTCCCTTGGCAGTTCTGTAATTTCTGGTTGGGACAGCTGTCTTAACAGGGGATAAAGGGGATACGCAGAGGTGGCAGAGAGAACATGGACGCAGTTTGGCTTTTTGACACTGCTGAACCCTGAATTAACCAATCCCAAAGCTGCTCCACCTGTGGGATTGTCATGAAATAATGTTTTTCCATTTGGTATAAGGCCTATTTTGTGGTGTTTTTTATTGTGATAAAATATACATAAAATTATCATTTTAACTACTTAAAAGTACAATCCAGTGGCATTACATACATTCACACTGCACAACCATGGCCACTCCCCAGTTCTGGAACTTTGTCATCCTAGAAAACTGAAACTGCATCCATGAAATAACGCCCCAGCCCTTGCCCATCACCATTCTACCCCCTGTCTCTATGAATGACTCCAGGGGCGTCAGGAGTGGAATGGTGCAGTGCTCTCCCTTTGGTGACTGGCTTATTTCACTCAGCACAATGTCTTCAACATCCAATCATGTTGAGTTTAAACCAGATTATTAGTTCATTTTTCATTATCATAATGAAATAGCAGAGGCAGGCTAACTTTATAAAAAAAGAGATTTATTTTGCTCACTGTTTTAGAGGTTCGAAAACAGTGAGTTTTCTGGTGAGGACCTTCTTGGCTGTGTCACACTATGGTGGATGTCAGTGCAGAGGCAGAAGCTTTTGTCAGAATGGGCAATCTCATCACCAGACAAGGTGCTGGGGGGCGGTGGGGAGAACTGGATGGGGCCCAACTTGCTCTTTTTATAACAACTTTTTTCTCAAGATCTAACTTGGGGGTCCCACTTCAGAACCACACTAATCCTTTCCAAAGGCAGAGCACACAATGACCTGAGGCCTCTCCTCTCACAGGTTCCATGTTCCCACATCAACATCTTGGGGACCACACTTCCAACACAGGAGCCTTTGAGGGGCACATGTAAAACAGCCAAACCATAGCTGTCATTTTGAGAAGAATCTTTTCTTTGTAACTGACATAAACTTGAGGACAGGAAAGGGAGGCTAAGGAGGGGAGGGAAACCAGGAGCTGGGTTTTGGTCATGAG